TTGATTTTTTTCTTTATAGTTTGACCTCATCTTGGAAATGAGATAGAACAAAACAGATGGGCAATACAGCACCCACTAAAGAAAAATTCAAATAATAACAGGTAATATATTACATAAAGACAGAAGAAGCAGATGCCGGGTTAAAAAAGAAAAGAAAAGAAAGATACTGGGAAATGATTTAGAGCCCAGGCTAACTCAACTTATCTTAACCTTCAGTCAGGTAGCAGGACCACTCAGATGGTTTACAGTCTGTTCTTACTAACAAAAAAGGCTTGAAGAAGTAGAGGGAGAGCGCTGAGGTGAAATCTTGTGCTATTCCTGGAACAGTCTACTTTTTCTTCACTGTTTATCAGTTCTGTAGCATTCAGCTGTTCTTTGTCGCACAGGAATAAAAGTTCAGCTTTGAAAATATGCAAGAACAAAGCCATAGAAATTGCCTGGAATTTCCTCCATTCTCAGCCATCTGGCTTTCATTGCTTTGCCTCTCTCCCCACTCCTCCATACGTGTTTACTGAATCTTTTCAGCACGCATTGACCAAGCTATTGAGCAGCTATAATTAATAACACAGTTATGCCATTCTTTTTCTCCCCTTACCTTGTTGGCTTACCGTGAACTGCTCATGCTGCTGCTGTTATAAATAAGAGCAATTATATCTGATTAGATGATGACTGCCACCGTATTTTGGGTTGTGGAGGCTAAGGAAGAGACACTTTGGATGTGAGTCATTTTGTTGTCCAGACAGTGAAATCAATACTGAAACAGGTTTTTTCTGGCTATTTTTAGAATAATTTAGAATGCAAAAAGCAATCAACAAAACTAAGTGATTTGCCCTCTCATTTCAGAGCTCAGAGAAGAAACTTTTCAACACTGAACAGCCAATCTATGTTTACTTCTGGGAAGACCGATGCTGTTTTCAAGTACTGCTATGTGATTTTGAAAGTAGTACATCTTCATTGACACAAATCAAATGACTGAATTACAGTGGCCATACTCTTCGTTCTTTTCTGTGTGTGACACAGTATGCTGTCTCCCAATTTATCAAAGCAAAGGATACCCTGTTTACAGAAATTTCAAACAAGGTTATACCATCTTAATGATAGGAAATGTTATTTTATACCTACTGTGCTGAAAACTAGTTACTAACTACAAACTTAGCAACCAGCTCTGTAGCGCTTCACTATTTCTGCGTTCAATTTGCAATGAGAAATTTTGTTTTACTGTATTCAAGGATAAAAGGGACTGAGCTCTTTTTCTGCCATTGTTCTTGTTACAACAAATAAAAAAAAAATCTCTCAAAGTCTAAAATCACAGGAGACTCAGCAGCTGTGGAGATTGAATATGGATGAAATCAGCCAATTTTTTGTGCAACTTTTCTTAGTTCTAAAAATCTTATGTAAGAATTCACAGCATTAGATTTTGCTGAATCCATATAGCTGTGAATCTGAAAACAGACTTCTGTTTTGTTTTTGTATCTCCTACTCAAACGTACTCAGAACAGTAATGTACTAACACTTTAAGTCAGAATTTCAATATAAATTATAAAGTTATCTCAGGTGCTCTACAAGCACATATTTTAGGGTGTTTATAATAATTCTGAAGTGTTGCCAGTATATTCTAATTTTTGCCATATGCTGTTGCAGGAGGGACCAGAATAAACTGGGGGAGGGGGGGGATAGGGAGGGGAAGACAGTGACACCACAGACTAATTTCAAAGTGAAGTGTTAAGTGGGTATTGGAGCCTACCCACCTTTATTCTTGGCAGGGAGCAGAGAGGACAGCAACAGTGGAGACCCTTTAGCATCATTTATCTTAAATGTCCAGTACAAAAGATGAAACAAAACCAAAATAAAACTACTTTTCATCTGTTCCTCCTATGGTGTCCGTCTTCAGGTGTGCTGGTTCTCCAGAAAAGCTGACTAGATTCTATTGTTCAATATTTTTATTTATCTGTAGGTAATTAAACCAACTGCTGCCCAGGAAAGATTAACCCTTTGAGAGGCTATGGAGAAGGCCGCATGTAACAAAGAGTGCCTGGAACAAAAGCAACATCTTTATGCTTGGAAGTTCTAATTCTTAAAGTCAAAGAATTCTCACTCTTAAACTAAACAATATCTTAAAGTGTATTAAATTCTAGACATAGCCATGCTCTGCTGTTTTGGCATCAGCAGCTTCATTGGAATAATTTCTCTAAATATATCAGGAGAGAATTTTCATTCTCTTAGGTAAGATTTCTTCATGGTGTGGACAACGTTCCCGCATCCTCCGAGACATTCATCACTGTCTTGGTTTCCCTCTCATCCAAATAGATGGCCTCCCCCACTCTCCACCGCTGTATACTCCAAGTTACTTACATGCCACAAACATTTTAGGAAAGTGCTTTTTATATTTCTAGCTGCTGTTAATGCACTTCAGCAGCTGGAAAATAGAGGGAAGAGCAGCTAGCTCTCTCTAGGCCGTCAGCAAAAGCTCTGGGAACCATCAGTGGTTAATAGACTTCATTTCGGGAACTTTTGTCATAGAGTCATTAAGTTCATAGCTACAATGTATTACATGTCAAGTTTTGCACTTGTTAGTGTGTAAGAGCAATTCTTTCATCAACGTCATCTTGAATTAGAATCCTGAAGCATCTTCTTATGATTAAAAAGAAAATCTAAAAGCCTTCTAAATGTTCTCTTTTTGCTTCTTTGCAAGTCTTAAGATTGTTGTAAATAATAACTGTAAAATATTAATCTTTACATACTAAGTGACATCAGTTTAGTGAGTATGAATAAATATATTTAATATAATACCATTAGCATAGAGCATGCTTCAGAAGCTTTTAGGAAATAAGGAACTTGACTTGTTACACCTTGCCTGTAGCTATATGGCAAATATATCAATTTTCCTTTTTGCCTCCTTTTCCATTAGTCATGCTGCCTGCTGGCTTGACTTTTAGGCCTCCTTGCCATTTACTGTTCTTCATCCTGTGCCACTTAAATCTCTGCAGATAGGCAATTTCTTCCAGACTATGGGGGGTTGGAGGGAGAGGAGATGTATATTCAGGGAATGGAGTCATTTCTCCTTTTCTCAAAGGCAACATTACAGGTGTACAAGAGCTTCTTAGTTGCCCCCCGCCTGACTCTCATCTACAGTATGATTACCTTGCAGTTTGTTGGAGGGCTGACACAACTGTGTAGTTGGGCCCACTGTAGCTTTAAACTAGCTCCATTCTAATAGCAAAGGTACCACAGTGGTATGGGTCACCATGCAGGCTAGTTCAAAAAGTATACAGCCAAATTCTCAGGCAACTTTTGTAACAAAACTCACATAAATACTGGCCTACATGAGTGTATTTTAGTTTTTTTTTTTTTTTTAAACTGCGAATATTTATTTTCTCTGTCAGAACTACTGATAGGTGGTCAGTCTCCCACCACACACATCTAGCTCCAGGAGTGCTGCTACCTATCAATTACAGGGAGATTTCCATCTACAAAGTTATTTTCAAGCATTAAGAAAAAATTTGTGTGTTAGCACTAGCGACACAGATGGTTTAACAAAGTCATAAAGGCTTGTAGTACATTGATAAGTAATTCTTGTAATGTTTTGGTGAACAGCATCAGCCTATTTGGCTCTTCTTGCCATAAAACTCAAAATCCTTACTGCACAATCAAATCAGTATTTCTATCCTTATCATACTTCAGCGTTTGACATATATGATTTTTAACGTCATCTTCCTCTGTGTACCCCACACCTATAAATACAGGTGTCCATTTAACTCTTAATAGCCTGCTATCATACAAAGTGTATATACGCTTATCAATATACCCTCTAAGGAAATCTACCACTTAGGCAACACTGAGTGTCCTAAATGATCCAAAGTTATAAATAAATCTGTTTCAGATCTGCTGTGCTACCACAAGAGAGTAAATGTACTTGCTTTATATAGCTGAGAAATATAGCTGAGAAAAAAGAGAATACATATAAACTTCAACTACCTTGAAGACGTGAAAGGTGTAGTTCTGTCTAAGTAAACCAAGGGAACCTCATAACAGCTGTATTCTGCTATAGAAGATACAGATGTGAATCTCTGCACATAAAGAATTCTGCTATCTTTAGGGTCAGGATTTTGGAAGCTTTCTGAGACCAGGGAGGAACAAGTTCTGCAAGCTTTTTGTGAAGGGGAAAGTTGTAGAATTCTCCTTACACTTCAGGTAAGTCTAGATAAAGTTAAGCTGATCCATAAAATATCTGGCTGCAGGACCTGAATAGCCAAGCAGCATGACATTTGCCCCTTGGTTTTACCACTGCTTTGTACTACTCAATCAACAACATTGCAGCCTGAAGAGGCTGTAAACCCCTGCAATCTGAGAAAAAGTGTATGTAAGAGAGTGAAGACATTTAGACTGCAAGCCCATTGAGTCTGGGATTCCAGCTTATTTAAAGGTCTTTTTTCATATCACTAGTGTTGTTTAAATGGCTCTGGACAATATACCAGACTACAGTCACCTCCCACTTCTTCAGTTGTTTTGCTTTTGTCATGGAAACGTCTAGATCCATTAAAAGATTTCTAAACAAGAACTAACATTGTTATCTGCATTAATAAAGCTGCCCTGACTGCACTATACAGGTTTTAAGACCACTATGGGTTTCCTCCTCTAAATCTTTATATTGCAAAGCAGCAGAAGTTCACTCACATATCTTTGCTCGCTTCATATCAATTAAAAGGAATCCCAAGGGGACATAAAGAGAGGATCTGTTGAGTCCAAACTACTGAGTCTGCAGAAGTCCGAGTCTGCAGTCTACTAACCTGGCTAATCATCTCGGGCCTTCAGATTTACTTACATGCTCCAGGAGAAATTTCAGTAGTGCCCAGACCCAAACTTCCTATCCAGACAGGATCCAAACATCCCAGCTTCATGGGGCATTTGAAGATAATTTTCTAAACTGCACACAGTGATTACACCTATCCTAGATCTGGAAGGAAAATATATGCCCTTGAGATAAGATTTAAGAATCCTACCTTGCGGGGCAGGGCTGCAGGTTACAGGCTTTCAATAGCTGTGGAGGACGGCGACTGATTACACACAGTGTCTCATCTGCCATCTCTCTGGTTTGTTTGTTCAGGCAGGTCACCACAGCCTCCTGGACACCTGTACAAAACAATACAGAGTCAGAAGCCAGCTTACAACACCCAGAGAGGCAGTGAAGGGTAGGCAAGGTGCCAGCAGGGATCCAGCTGGGCTGCTGCAGGGATTGCTGCACACCAGAAAATCAGGGTTGCCAGTTCAGACACTGCAGCCAATGCGGCAAATAGGGAAGAGGCTATTTCCCAAACGTTAACGGGATGCTTGCTGTTTATATCCAAGCGCTCTAAACAAGATGATCTTTGACGTCTCTGAGGACTTCCTGGCACACCTTTTTTGACTAACTAGGGAAAAACCTTAGCTCCTTTCTTCTCCTTTGTTTGAAAAAAACCAAAACAAACGAACAAAAACAGCTTCATCTGTAATTCCTGTAGTTTCCCAGCCACAGTCGTACACTGCTCACTGCACCTTTTGTATCTGGCTTCCCAGGGAAGGCCTAATCAATTTACTGTTCTGGAAGCTGGGCTTCTACCTGTCCTTGCTCTCAGTCTCATCAGCTTTTTCAGTTAGGGTGAAAAGTCTCTAGGCTCATTCACCACATACCTTTTATTGTCAGAAAAAGGTCACTTAAAAGTAATAATGTTCTCTAGTTACTTATCCTTTTGCTATGAATGCAACTAGGTTGTTCATTTGTCAGCCAAGCGGGTTAGGGTGTGAAGATGGTCTTGACATGGGCATGTTATATTTTAAGCAACAGTATGACTGCTATAAGTGCAAAAGAAAAGTAAAATAAGGTCAGACAATTCAGCTGCTCTCCATTCATCTCCTGCATCCACAGTCCAGAGACTAAACTGGATAAGCAAAACTGCAGGGTATATCTAAGAGCTGGAATAGAACAGGGGTAGCTGCTGGGAGCAAGTAGCAAGTTGGAAGATTTGGCACTTATGCTATAATTTAGGAAGTGCCTGGTGATACCAAATTTCTCCTGCACTCTCGGGTACGCCAGTGACTTATCTCACATTTCCTATGTGTGAAATAGGACTGTTACAATCTTTTGGATCACAAGGTTAGACAACTAGATCAGGCATTTTGACACTACACATACCATGTGCGTAGCAGATATCCCTTATCCCCAGGGGGTCCAAGGATATTGGACCTGAATATTTTACCTGAACTGCCCAAAAATCTACAGTGCTTCAAGCAAGGTGGAAGCGTGCTCTCTACATTCATTCTGACTTTCTGAGGTAGGAGAAGATTAGCCTAACTTGTAGCAATTGCATCATCTACTTAAAACCAAGTTTTCCAAAATATCTCACAATCTTTTGAAGACATTAGTGTTTATATTATATGTAAACATGTGTGTGTATATATATGTGTGTGTATGTATACACACACACATACAAATATAGAATCATAGAATGGTTTAGGTTGGAAGGGACCTCTGGAGATCATCTAGTCCAACCTGTCCTCTAGAGCATATTGCCCAGGATCACATCCAGACGGGTTTTGAATATCTCCAGCAAAGGAGACTCCACTACCTCTCTGGGCAACCTGTTCCAGTGCTCTGTCACTCTCACAGTGAAGAAGTGTTTTCTCAGGTTCAGATGGAACTTCCTGTGGTTCAGTTTCTGCCCATTGCCTCTTGTCCTGTTGCTGGGCACCACAGAGAAGAGGCTGGCCCCAGCCTCTTGACACTCCCCCTTCAGATACTTGTACACGTTGATGAGATCACCTCTCAATCTTCTCTTCTCCAGGCTGAACAGGCCCAGCTCTTGCAGTCTTTCTTCATAGGAGAGGTGCTCCAGCCCTCTAATCATCTTGGTAGCCCTCCGCTGGACTCTCTCCAGGAGTGCCATGTCTCTCTTGTACTGGGGAGCCCAGCACGGGACACAGTACTCCAGGTGAGGCCTCCCCAGGGCTGAGTAGAGGGGCAGGATCACCTCCCTCGACCTGCTGGCAACACTCTGCCTAATGCACCCCAGGAGACCATTGGCCTTCTTGGCCACAAGGGCCAATATATAAAAGTGTATATATATAAAGTGTGTGTGTGTGAATATACACACACACACATATACATATAAAGTTTTGGAAAAGCTTGAATAGCTCCAAGAGCAGTGTAAGAACTACCAATACCTTTTTCTGTTTCTAAAGCCAAAGTGCGTGCCATTAGGCAAACAAAGATATCATATTATTTTACAGGACTGAAGCGCTGCAGCTCATGATAGGTCCAATACTGTAGCCTGTCCAATAGCACAGACCTCTATATTCCTCATTCATGGACCCACTTACTCATTCTCCCACAGGCTGAGGAGAGCCTCACAGCAAAGTGGCATATTGAGCAATTCATTGGTTCCTTTGCAGCTGTGCAAGCTTGTTCAGGGCATAAGCACTGAACATAAGCACTATCTTTAATATATTTAGGTGTCAAGGAGAAAATATATTTAGGTGTCAAGGAGAAAGAGAAATAAATTGAAATTTATTGGATATGGACATTGATGTGTAAGTTAAAGTCCGTGAAGTCAGCCAGTACAGCTGTGGGTTTCCATACGTTTTAGCCATTTCGCTATTCAAATAACGTCCCAAGATACTTTTTGAAAAAATTTGAAAGGGATAGCCCATTGAAAGAATAAAACAAGTACCAGTGACTCTTTTCTAGGAGAGGAAACCAAAGAAATATTTCCATATAAACAATGTGTTCTCCATCCCTTCATGTTCAATATATTCCAACTCAGTCAGTTCTCTGTTTGGTATGTTATCCTATGCTATACGGCAAACAGAGGCATAAGGATTTCTGTAGGAACAGACTGCTCCTGGCTGCCAAGTAGAGATGGTTCCCTAACTGATGGGACATGGCACTATGTTGAAGATATTTGTCTCTGTTTTGCAGTGATCACCAATGCAGGCCTAACAGCAAGGTCAGACTGATGACCACAGAGGAAAAGAGCTGCTAATCCAGCGGTATAGAAAAATGGGAAAGTTATCCTATTAAGCTCTATGGAATGAAACCCCTGAGTCCTACTGCATGCTGGTGACATTGTTCTGTTTGCTAGGGATAAGGCTAACTCACCAACTTGATGGTGTTGTTTTTCTTTCCAGATCCAGATTTTGTAACTCAGGTGTACTTCCACAGCTTCAATTTGTTCTCTCCTAAGTGTGTCACAAATGAGCTGCTGACCAGTGACTAACAATTACCTCCTCTCTTTCCAGCACTTCCGCATTGCATGCTTCAGAGCTGACTATCCAGAAGTGATTGACTGAGAGTTCTTGAACACAGTCTCTTCTGTACTTCTCAGAGACTTACGGTTTTCTTTAGCTCTTAGAGTCAAGCTCTGATACTACTGCTCTTGACCTTTAAGTATTCAAGCTACCCTAGACCACTCAGTATGTTCATTCCCCATGCTCACTCATAACACTTCAATCACCTCTAACGCGGTTGCCCATAATTTTAGTCTATTCTATTAGTATTTTGCTTTACTCATTACAATTCCCTCTAAGCAACTCTTATAATTCTTCTACCTTTTAAAGAGACCAGTACAGCCTATAATCTTGTTTGATACTATGGATAATCCAGCAAAAGGTGCCAGGCTACATTTAACTAGTCTGTGGTTGCTAGACTGCCTGTTGACAGAGATGAATCCTCCAATAGGTTGTGCTGGGGACTAAGATAACTGGCTTCCTCCAGCAGCAAACAAGTGTGCTCAAAAATCACTTTCTTCAGCTTCTCCTTGACCTGAATTTTCTTGCACTGAGTATGTTTCAACACACCGATAACATTTTCCCCTTCTGTTTTTGATAGGCCAATGCAGCAAGCTTTAAATCAATGGATGGGTCACTGAATATTTACATCCTTTAAAGACTTTCTGTTATCTGTCAGAAACTTCACAATACAGACATGACCAAAAAAGGAGGAGACATTTCTCCAGTAACTGAATTCTAAGCTCTATTCACTGCACAATATTATCAGAACAAAAAGTTTTAAAATTGCTTTTCCTAAAATAAATAAATAAATAAATAAAAAAGTCTGTTCTTAATGGGAAATTACAATGCAAAAGAGTGCAAGGGTGGAACAAAAATCTAAGCAGTTTAGGTTCACTTTCAAAATACCATCAAATGAGATTATCTGTGTTTATATCTACCAGAATAGAATAATTGTTGCATGATATTTGACGACAGCTCTGGGAAATGCAGCCACTAACAGCAGACTAAATGACTAACTAATTCCTTCTGGTTGCTACTTTTAGGAGGTGAAAGGTTATTTCTGCATCTATCCAATTTCTTCTCTTGAGACTACAAAAACAATAAAATTAGTTTGACCTGTCTTACACCTATGGTTTCAAAAATATCTGACTTAGCATCTAGTAGTCTGGAAGATTTGGAGTTGATGTCAGGCAAAGAGGAATCTTGGCTAACAATTTTTGCTGACAACAGACTAAAGGTTAAGTTTATAAAGCAAAATGTGTCTGTCCTTTCAGACAATCTATTTGAGTTATATTTGAAGAATATACAGAGGGTCACTCTAGTCACAGCAATGATTTCATTTCAAGAAGCTGTTTATAGAAGCTATTCAGGTTTCACTCTACACAGTGCAAACATGACAAGTCACTCTCAGACTCAAAATACGACAGACACTCCTATAAAGTCAGTGTTTGTCATCACTTACCATACATTATTAGTGTATTTGAAGCAATTGTGATAATGGTCTGACTGTGACAACTGTATGTGAGCTGCTATAAATACTGACTACCATCCAGCAAGACAGAAGTAAGCTATGAAACCCTTTGCATTATTTTCTATCAGTTATATTTAAGCTTGCATTTGATTACTGGTAAATCTATACGGATCAAACTATTAAACACTCACAAATCACTGTGAAGTTTCCAGTTCTACAGTAACTGCTCTGTATTTAGACAGAACAAACCTTTTTTTAAAAGGCCTGAAACTTGTCATGTAAAGAGATAGCAGCTGCAGGAGTCTAGGTTTAGTTTAAAAATATTGGAGTGGGAACATTTTTTACAGCCAGCTACACAAAAGGATGGGAAGAAGTGAACATGAGAGAATGGTGTATTAATACTCCATTATGCAGAACGTATGACCTTGAATAATTTTGAGAAACTCCAAGTGCCAAGCCTGCTAACTTCAAGCAATCACATGATTAGTGCTTTTTCAATATAGGCTTTCTTTTGCTTTAGGATCCAGGCTAATATCACTTGGTAATATTAGCTAGGGAGACCAGCTGAGCCCTTAGAATTCCAACAAGCGAATGCAGTGGCAATGGCAGGGCCATTTGCTACCACATGTTTATGCTTACGGAGCGTACATCAAGAGATAAAAACTAAAAGTGACACCTCACTCTAGCCTGTATCACAAGACCACTTTAAGCTTCACTTTCCTGTGTGTGAGTGCATATCAGAGCGATCAGCTGATACATGGAAAGGATAATTTGAGATTCATTGATTCTTCATAGCTAACAGTCTGAGTATGGAGACTGAAAGTCCTGGGCCAAAATAGGAAACGCACAGAGGAATTGTTAGGGTTTTCATCGATGCCTTTTCAAATAGACGTAGCAAAGCAGCATTTCCAAGAGCGTTCACTGCAAAACACACACTTAAACAAGGAAAGCAAATTCAGCACAAAATCATTTTGCACTTACCTCCTCCACAGGACTCTGAACACTGCGTAAAGCCCTCATATTCCCAATCATAGAGCTCATCAAATTCTTGCAAGCTGCCATACAGCTGATCAGTTTCCTCTGGGTTATACTCAGTCGCTGCCCCACTACAGGGACCACTGTAACAGGCTCGCTGAGACACAGGTTTGGGGCCTTCACATTCATCAATGGGCAGGTCAGCCACAGACTGGGAGAAAGACAGGAGCACCTGACATTTCACAAGCCGCACCTGGCTGCCCACTCCACAGGTGACACTACAGGTGGACCAAGCCTCAGGAATAAACCTGTGAGAGGAAGAGCAAGAGCAAGGTAAGTTACATCCATGAATAACTGAGTAAGCAAAAGCAGTATAGTTCTGTCCAAGAGTTACAAGCTAAAATTACATTTAATGAGAAACAAACACTTCACCGCAACATACTGCTAATAGGAAATACTCATGAAAGCCATGACATCTTGTTGCCAAACCACTGCCACAGTGAATGGGCTCTCAAGTTCTCATGTGGAATATATGCTTATATCCTTGACACATCACATATACTTAGAATGCCTAACTTGATCTCAAAAACTCTCAGCGCAAAGCATCCTGCAAACTCCTCATCAGCATCATGATCCTTCTAGTTACTTATTTCTAGCATCTAATCTGAATCATCTTGTCCTAAGTAGATATTGTAGGTTTGCTATTAGTAAATATTGAAGAGACTGTTGTTATCAACTAGTTGCAATATTCTAGGACAAATAATTTTAGTCATTGTTCCTGTATTGCAGTAATTATCTTTGGGTCTTCATTTAGAGTCATGAAAAGATAAAGAACACAATTCCTTCAGCTCTTTGTTCTAACACATTTCATTTCCCTTCCCATTAAAAACATTGTGTTTCATTTTTATCCTGGGTTTTCTCTTTTTAAATTCTGGCTGTTGCTTTTGTCTTTCAGATTTGGAGCTCTTATTTACCCAATTTTTTTGCCTGTGAAGGTCCTTATATTCTTTAACCAAATTGCCTTGCAACCCTCCTTATGATAAGCAAAACAGACCGAGTTCTGAGTCTCTTGGTGCTGAGTATTTTCCTCAAAAGTATAATACTATCTGCATTTTTCTGCATTGTTACCACTTTTCCAGCACGTTAAAAATATGGTACTGGAAACTGGCCTAGAATTTTACTAAAAGTAGTATCAAACAGATAGGTCACATTCACGTCTATACTACTTTATTACCCACTTTTTAAACTTACCACACCTCATACTGAGAAGCTCCTGTTCATGGGGAGCTCATATTGATGCATGATGTTTCCTAAATCTTTTGGGAAACAGTGCCTCCAGGTACTCCATGGCCTGCATTATTTTTACCTACATGCCTGATGGTGGTAGTACTAAAACACTGCAGTAATGAACCCATGCTACAGAGTGGTTCACATCAGACTGTCCTGTCTTCATTATTAGCCATTCTGCCAAACTTTCTGCCATGAGCAAATTCTACAGGCAGTGATTGTCTATGTACTTCAAGGACAAAACCATAAAAATGCATAGCTAGGTTTGGCACAGGTCCCTCAAGAGCCTCACAGGGAACTACCCTTATTAATAAAGTTTTCCCATTAACAGTAAGTGTTTGGGATCTGTTAGCCACCTCAAACGGAATGAGTTCTTTACTGGTATTTTGTAATGTTAATCTGGTGGGCAGAATGTTTTTTGTGACAGAGTCAACTGCCTGAAATAAATTTAGGTGTTTCACCTCCAGATCATTTGTATTAGCTAAGTTGGTCATGTAAACCAGAGTTTACAAGACCTATTTTTGTTTAAAATATCATGGGTATCACTAGAAGTATCTCCCTCCCTTTGGTTTTCATTTACATAGGCCATACCAGAGTTCCACTACTCTACCCAGGACTGAGGGCAATACACACATCTGTCTCTTTTATGGACTAGGGTTACTCGTAGTTATAGGAAACTGACGCACAATTCTCACCTTGCATATCCCACGCGCAATCTGATAGGAAGAAACAGAAAAATCAGTTTTGGGGTCAGCATTTTCAGAAGTGTTTTTAAGCACTTCCTTTTTAATCCACTGCCTTTCTCTAGATGACATAAGGGCTTTGCCATCATTTAGAGGGGGAAAAAAAGTCCAAAACCAATCAAGAAAGCCTGTTGTACATCCCCACCCCTACCCCTAAATGCCAAGATCCCTGACTGGAGCAGCACAGTCAGCTAGAACAGGCACTACGCATTTCTTTACCCACAAAAGATCTGTCATCTTGTTATAAACCCCGTCTACTGCTAGTACTATACACAGGAAGTAACAGAAAGGAAAGAAATGGATTGTATGTGTTACTGGAAAATTTGAAACTCTTCATCAGGCTGCTACAAAGACCACAGGATTTCTCTCTGGTGCAAAGCCTTTGAGAAACTGATGATGCAAAGTGATTCCATTTCCCTACTCTGAAACACCTTATCTTATTAATGCAAACAAAAAACTCAGTCTTCTTTCAGATTAGGTATCTTTCACTTTGAAAGGGTTATAGTCTTTAAAAGTAAAGGTTGGCCACTCATTTTTTCTAAGATTGTGCTACTGCTGTAATACTGTTCTGATGCAGAAAACTTCCTGTCAGAGATTGAAGAGTCCATATCAACTACAGCAGCTTAGATATTTTGATGGTTTAAACGCATAGCTTCTTGAGCTGATGACCTAAAAAGTAGATACCTAGTCAAGTTATAAAAAGAGACACTGGACATGTTCATTAGACATTGTATCCCTCCTATTTTTTAATATCATGAATTGTGGTGCAACTTCATTTTTTGAAGAGCTGCTATATTACAATCCAAAAGGAATTATATTTTCCCAGTGATTAAACCTACTCATATGGAAAAACACAGAGACTTCACATAACACACAATATTTACACATTATGTGTATCACACATACAAAAATACAAGAATAAAAGAGAGAAGGAGCAAAAAAGAAGTAAGAGCATTAATAAAGCGGTTTGGATTCTTTTTGAAATAAGAGTTGATCTATAAATACCACATATTATTATTATATTATTTCACCCTAGTCAGCAACCTATAATGAAAACATTGGAACACCTTCAGGAAATTATATTTTATTCAGCTTTCTAGGCCCATTCTCTACATTTTAAAGTGATAAATTTGGAAGGGTAATTTAATTGTAATATAACTGTTGGCTGCTAAAGCACACAGAGAATTGGTAGAGTCAACAGAGTTGAAAGCATAAAAAAACTAAAAAGAAGACAAAAAGAAAAATTGAACAAAATCTCCATATAGAAGTGCCATTACAAACTGAACATTTATATAATGTGAATGTATAACAAAAATATACGCTAGTTCTGAATTTTCCATCATTCTAAAACCAGGAAATTACAAAGGCTTTCAAATATCTTTGTGTGGTCATTAATGGCAAATGTTGCCAAATGGCTAGCACAAAATATAAAAAGTATAGTAATAATAAGTAGTCAGTTCCATGGGTTTAAAGTTAGTTATTCCACATATAATATATCTTCTGCTATGTGACACTGTCCTTTTCTGAACGCTAACAACTGAGCCTTCTTTGAAGACAGAAGTGGTGGAGAGCAGCAGATATTTTAGAAAACAGGAAATGATTGAGTTGTTTCAGATGGCATTGCACAGTGTTTAATAAAATACTGCTTTTATAGTAATCCCCATATTAACAACCATAATAAATAAGACAAAGGAGTTACTGGTTGTGGTAATGTTGCAGAGGCAGCTATGTGTCAGAGCCCAAATGTGCTAGTTACTGCACAAATGAAAAAGAGATGACTCCCGCCTCAAAGAAATTATACTGAAATATCTTAAAGCTCTTAATCTACCTCTCAGTGATTAGCATATTCCTATTGCACCAAAGGTAACCTAATTTTGTTCCTCTGCACAGCAAAAATGACAGTGCTTACTCCCCGAAAGAAAATTACAGACAGTAAGCGTGTTCCGAGAGCTCTGCTGAACATATCAAAGAGGGCTCTTTGCTCTCATTTTAAAGAGACGACTATTACATGGAGAAGTGAAAACTGGAAGGAGGGAAAATCAAGACCTTGCTCCGTTATGACTGACGTAACAGTGCCTGCTGCTACTGAGCTGCTGGGGCACTGCAGATATTATGGAGCCCAGCCTGGGGAAGGCTGAAATGTGACTGTGCCTGGAGGCAGCAACACCGACATGTGGGGAAAAGAAAAGTGTTGGGATGGTTATGGTAGTTTCCTTGACCGGCGGGCACTTACTGTGATGGACCAGCAACCTTTTCCTACTACAGGACAGCCTTGCAAAATAGTGAGTACTAGATTTAAAGGAGGCATGGTATTTTTCAGTAGCATTTGTTGGCTGTTGCTATTTGACAAAGTACACAAATACGCTCACTTGCTCAGTTCAACTTCATGAGGACAATTCACATATGTAGGTACTAGTATTCACATTTACACATGAAAACACCTCCTTTTTCAGATAACAATTTCTCTAACATTTTGTAAAATTGCCTCTGCTTAAATTATACAAAGGGAATGTAATTAAAAATCCAGCTCTTGTAGTCTAAAATGTGCGATGCAATGAACACTTGCTTAAAAGAAGCAACCAAAATGATGTCAAAATTTAAACTGTGAACAGTGATGACAAATTCAGTACTTAGTGTTAGCATTACAGTAATTTGTCCTTCAAAGTCTGGATACAGCTGAGGGTTGCTGTATATTCTACTCCATGAAGCAACATAAAGAAAAGTGCAAAAGAGAGAAGAAGAGAAACACAAAGATTCAAGACTCAATAATGGGAGACCTTCCATCGACTCCAGTGGGTTCAGGACAAGATGCATACAGAGCCCTGCTGAGTTTTATAAAGATCTCCAGAACCTTTGATGTACATTCCCACAAACTCAGGTTGGGACTTGGGTTCCTGCATGTGTGTTATTAAAAAAAAAAGTGTATGCAGACTGATATAATTCAGCTATCAGTCTGTTAGAGAAAAAAAACTTGTTTCCTCACTACAACTAAATTACATGTTGTCTTTTCTTTTTATTGCTTAATGTTATTTTTTAAATCCATCATTGGGTAAATCCATGGTTCAGTGAAAGCCTGAGGTTCTAAGAACCACACATACCAGTTAAGATCTGAGGTTCAGGGCCACAGACACCCCAATATTAAGGCATCTACAATTAGATACTAGTGTAAAGAAACAATGTGTTAAGTTGCTTGTCCAAAGGCTTAGAAATTTTCTGAGATAGAACCAGGAGCTGAACTCCTGTCTCCAGCCTCCTCGTGCTGAGCTGAAACACAAGCCCTCCCTCTCCTGGAGAGGCCACCATTCTCCTAGATTTAGTGTGAGGATAACACCACAGGATGCTCCCAAACAGAAGTGGATAGCTTCTGGTACCATTGTTCACAGAAGTGAACCACTTGTCAATAAAATCTCAAGCCTCCATCTGTCCAAGTAATGGCACCAAAGCCAGCTGCATAGGTCAAGTTATAATCTGAGTGATTACACCTAGAGTTTCCTTTCACTTTCATTTGAATATGATCTTTTCCTTCACCTTTGCATTAAAACATCTTCCCTACTGGTTCTCTCCTTTAATTCATCGTTGGTTTTCTTCCTAGGGAAAG